GCCCGGAACTGCTTCCGTTTACAACAGTGAGCGCAAGCTAGATTAAAGTGATTATTATTAGTGATGGCGAGATGAAGCCTTATGAAGCATTGAAGCTTTTCATCCAAGTGGTTCACAAAAGGGTTCATTTCTCGAGGCTTCATTTGCTCACAATACCACCTGGTGGCCAAAGAGTGTAAAACATTCAGATACATTACAGATGACCTGATGTGATCTATGATACACTGTTTTGCACCAGTTAAGGCTTAGAAATAACGGTGAAGAAACAAAAAATCTATTTCCACAGTCTAATCTATTTATATGAATATAATGCGTATTTTATAATGATTGTATAACATAATACAACATAATTGTGTATTAAACGTATTGGCTTGAAATTAATGGGGCTATCAAATGTGTGTAAATCAAGTCTTTGCTCATAGTAGGCAGAAGGGGCAATATTATTAGTCTAAAACTGGAAAGTGGCTGAGTTTAACAGGGCAGAGGACTGTGCATTTACAAGATTCGAACCGCTTCCTGAACTAGTCGGGCCAAGCGAGGCTTCGGTGACGTCAATGACATCATTGCTCTAAAGCGATACAAGCCTCGATACACGCTTCACTGAAAGCTGCCGGGATTTCTCGACACGCTCCGAAGCCTCGGTACAGAACGTAACATCACTAATTATTACGTTTTGAATATGGATATTTGTCTTACAAAAACGCATCGATTCGCTACAGGAGGCCTTTGTTCACCCCCCGGAGCCGTGTGAGACCCTATTTTTTTTTTTATGGATGGGCGCTTTTTATTTCACTTCTTTTGTACTGAAGCACTGCAACACCCGCTGACTGCAATGATAGAGCTTGGAATAGCCAGGACAATTTTTAATATAACCCCGACTGGATTCGTCTGAAAGAAGAAAGTCATATACACCGAGGATGGCTCTGGGGTGAGTAAATCACAGCCTAATTTTCATTTTTGGGTGAACTAACCCTTTGAGCAGCAATTGATGCAAAAATCACGAGCGATTGGTTGGCATTAACGTTGCTTGTGCTCCTGTTCTCAGTGCTTGATCTGGAGAAGAACGACGGCTCGGCGACCCGGCCGTATTACATGGGCAGCAGCCTGCGTGCCATCCTCAACAAGAAGAACAAGAGACCAGAGGAGAAAAAGAAACGTAGAAAACATAAGAAGGAGCAACCAAACAAAAGGCACTGACATGTAAAACACAGATTCTGGTTATTATGGTAAATGGACTGATTTAAACAATATTCAGTCATGTATGTAGATAGTTTTGTATTATAAATCTCATTAGAAGCCCAAAAATATAAATACAAGAATCTTTGTACTGATCTGCATCTTTCTGGTTATTATGCAAGTAAATATAATTGACAGTAAGCAACTAAATGAATTGAGATGATTTCCTGTTTATGGATGTATGGAAATGTCTTACTTTGTGTGGATTTTTGTAGAGTTTAGTAGTGGCGGCTCGTGGGTCTTAAAATAGAGGAGGCACACTAATTGTATTGGTCTGGGATCCCTGCCGATTATTATTATTATAATTTGCTTAACCACTTTAAAATGGCTTTTTGGTTGCTTTTAGTCAGAAAACGTAAAGAAAACGACATACATACAGCAAGATAATATAATTTCATTTACCTGGCCTATCACTTGAAGCAAACATCCATCCCTTCTTAAAAGTCTGTGTTAAAAGAGAGCTGGCTGTTGCACCATTTAATTAAGCCAACTGCTGTAGCCTATATCCAGCTTAGGCTGTTTTCCATAAATTTGTATATATACTGTTTGAATGACAGCTTGGTAAATCTGTTGGCGATCAAATATTCAATATCGCTACTCATCATAAGTACTTGGTACATTATCAGCGCAGCGGGAGACGTTCAAACTAATATCACGTAATTTACGTCTCTGTCATGATTGGTTGATATCAGAAGGGAGGCTAGCCTCCCTTACAAGGGTTCTTTTCTCAACACTCCTCAGCGCTGAAAGTAAACACTCGATGCTGATTGGCAAATTTTTGTTACCAACGGAGGCACAAGAGCTCACCTCTCTCCCGGCCTCCCCCTACCCTTCTCTATCATTAGCGGTTGCAATTACATCAACAGATTCGGCACATTCGCAATAGAAAAGCGGCGCTTTCACGTTATTTTATTACAACTGTGAAATTACAAACAAAAAATACACATTCTGAGACATGAACTGAAATGAATTGTGAATTTTATTAACATTAAATCGTCCTCCTCCCATTTTCACCTCAAAATTATGGGGAAGCTGTGCCTCCCCTGCCTCCCCCGACAAGCCGCCACTGGATTTTAGTCTTTTTTTTTAACCAATTCTTGTCTTTTATATGACCATTGCATTTTGTTAGCACCCATTTGGGGTGAAACTGACACTTCTCTCATATTGAGAAAATAACCGGTAACATTTATTCGCTGTTCACTAAATGAATTTTTCTCAACTTTTGTAAGTTGCTGTTTGTAATTTCAGTTCAGCTGAAGTGCCTTATTCCAACACGCAATTAACAGCTCTTTTAACCTCAACCACATGTTGATATGAGCCCTTTTCTGCTGTGCAGAGCTTCTAACTCCATTTATTCTTTCATTACTGCTCTTATTCATCCATCCAACTGCATTTCTCATCAGGCCCAATGCTCTCTAGCAGTAGGAGGTTACACTCCTTCAGTGTGATTTTATTGTGTCTGTTCACACTTCATTTTAGCCAAGGAAGGACTTGAATTTATCTTAACACCTTGATATGAATATGTGTACAGAGTAGTGGTAGTTATTTTATGTGAACCAATTTCTGCTCATATTTTGATGCCATCAGTTTGAAGTATTAATTTTTATAAAAACATTTTTTGTTTTGCTGTAGTTTTTCTTTTGAGTATTAAGAGTGTATTCTTTACCAGTTTTATGTTGTTTAAAAACACTTGAATGTGAAGTCATACAGTGAGTGCATGTTCTGGATTGTTATTCAAATTGTATTTTGAGTTTAACACTTGTCTAATGTCATTAATATGTAACTATTTAATTCTCTTCATAATTTACAGTGTACACATTTTTACTATTTTTGTAAGCATATATTTTGCAAAGCTTAATAACACTTTATGATGTAATCCAAGTGCAAGGATAATTTTGGAAATAAAGTATTTCATATAGACATGTGACAAGCTATTTATTTATTTATCATGGGATATGAACAAAACACACAATAATAAATAAAAACTAGTTTCCAAAATAAGTTTTTGTTTACATAATATATGTGTGTGCTGTGTACATTTATGTATATAAAAAAGCACACACAGTATATATTTTGAAAATATTTACATGTATATGTTTATATTCATATAATTTATATTATAAATATATATTATATAAACATTTTTCTTAAATATATACATGCATGTGTTTGTATTTCTATATATACATAATAAATATACAGTACACACGTGAAAACAAAAACGTTTATTTTGGATGCGATTTAATCGTTTGACAGCACTAATAAAAACATAAATTAATCCATTAAATACAAAGGTATTAGCAGCGGCATAAATGTAGTGCATAAACTGGCACAACATGTACAACTGAATTGTAAACCATTTAGCTGCTGCTGATTGGTAGATGTGTTGATTTTTGGGACAGTAACGGCTGATAGATTAGAGATGATGGCGTGTGCACTAAAAACAAAAGAGAAGCAAAGCCATTAACAAAATCACAAACACACAGGGACAAATTTATGTCATCCTAACACTGGATACCTTTTCCATTAGCAGTTTTAGTAATATTCATCAAAAACCAATAATAAATGTACTAATGTCCTATTTAAGGAATGTATCTGATTGTACTACATTTCCTCAGATCTCACCATCAGTGCAGGTGCTGTGCAGTGCTGTAAGCAGGGATGTGTGTGAATAGTGCTGCTCATTCAGGGTGGACACGGACTGGAGTGAAGACATATCTCCTGTGGGTACTGCTGAACGAGGGGGAGAAATGTGCTTCTTATGACGGGCGCGACAGTTTTGAAACCAAACCTGACCAGAAAGAAATTCAAAGAAATTACTTAGACAGCATATGAGCTTTCTTCTGTTGCCACATACAGTAAACCATGCTAACATTTTTAGACGGCTTAATTTAGGCACTTTAGAAATTGCTAAAGAAATGTAACCTGAATGACGCGTCGGCTAAGCCCAGTCTGGTCAGCAAGCCTCTGAAGTGTCTGTGCGTCTGGGTTATTGTCCTGAGCAAACTGGGCCTGCATAACCTGCAAGCCACAAACATCAAAATAGTGTCAACAGGGCCAGAGACATTAAGCCAGAGGAAGCTCTCTAGTATGGTTTGATTACAAGTAGCAACAACATAGCAGGGATCCATTATTGCTAATATACTGAACTTCATTTTAATAAGACTTCAAACCCCAGAACTCAGTGTGTGGCGCATATTGAACCACAAGAGCGATGCTTTTGTTTACCTGTAGCTGGTCTGAAGTGAAACTGGTACGTGCTCTTTTAGATGGTTTTTGGTTTATTTCACAGCCTGTATGCAACACACCTTCAGGAGAGACGTTTTTTCCTGGAATAATAAAAGGTAAGGCAAAGGTGTAGTTATTTATAAGACATACTGAGCATGCTACAAACCAGAAGACATCAAAACCAAACAACTGCTTTATTCTTCCTAAGATGTTACTGGATTAGTTTTACATACTCTAGTTTCTAAAAAAATATTCAGAAAAAAATATATATATTTTTTTTAAATTAAACCGTTTATTGAAACTTCAGACCTCGTAATAAAGGAGGAAAGAACAGTTATTGTTTTCAAAAAATATGCAGTTTAATGAAACTGCTGATATGTATATGGCCAAAAATTTACATGAAATTCTGAAACCTTTAAATCAGAGACATCGTTCTAGCAGACTTCTTACATGAAATGCTTATAAATATCAGTCAATATCTCACAATAAGGTGTCTTAGCAAGATTATATTTAATCAGTTTATGATCAAATCTCTAATGTTTTAATTATTGGGGCAAAACATAATGAAATGCAATACAATGATGATTGAGAAATAAACATTCCTCAAAAGCCTGATGTATTGTATTTGATATATTTTAACTTGATTTTTCTAATACATGGATAATCAAATAAACAAATAAAATCAAATAGTTGCTTTAGTCCAGTAAGTGTTCATCTTGAAATATTACTATCAATATAATATATATTTTTTTACATTTACTTTACTTTTCACTTCAATCAGTAAAGATTTCACACCAAAAAGACACGTACCACAACCCGAAGGTGGACATTTTTGGAATTACACCAAAAAGCTTCTACTTGTGTGTAGTATTTATTTTTCTTTTCTTTTTTCAGCAAAGTTTATGCAAGATCATTTAGAGGCCTTAGAAATTTGATTATCAGTTATGATACAGCAGGCTTTATAGGGTTAAAGCGCACCCCCTGTGCGCATGCAGGACTCTCAACTTACCTTTTTCAGCGGCACCTTTGAGTTTGTCCAGCATGCTGTCGTAATGAACTCGACACAACAATTTTTGTCCAACCAAAGCAAACTCCTCGCCTGTGGACAGCTGCCTCTTACAAGAGAAGCACAAGAAACATGCCAGGTGGTAAACATTTCCCTTCGCCCTGCGCACCCAGTCTGTGGAGTGAACCGTTTCACCGCAGCATGCGCACCATGTTCGATACCTCCTGTCAAGCCATAATGGATTTGGTTAAATACATACTGAAACATCTTGCCTGCATATGCATAATGTACATCTTTCAGAAGTAGCTACCTGAAGTAATCTAGTTTGCATAAGACCTCTCGCTCTCTAACGTAGCAGGTTGTGTGTCCGCTCAGAGTGGTTTGGCACACACTGCATGAAAGGCAATGCACATGCCAGCACAAGTCATTGACCTGCATTCAACAAGAAATTTGATTACAAACAGAGAATCAACTGATGGAATTGATCATACACTCTAAAAAATGCTGGGTTAAATATAACCCAGCGCTGGGTTAAAAAGGGACAACCCCAGCTATTGGGTTGTTTTGACCCAGCGGTTGGGTTGTTTTGACCCAGCAGTTGGTTTCAAAACAACCCAACCGCTGGGTCAAAACAACCCAATAGCTGGGTTTGTCCCTTTTTAACCCAGCATTTTTTAGAGTGTACATCATTTCAAATTGTCAATGAAATGAATAAATATTAACCAACGTTAAATGATCCTTCTCACCTTAAGCAGATACCGGTCTAGGATGTCCTCTCTACACCTCGTGCAAACTGCTTTGCCTTGGAAAGCATCAGATGCCATTGCTTGAGGTAGAGCAGATGGAGAAGACCGGCCATTCAGGAGTTCTGATGAACTCTGTAGAAACAGAAATTCTATTTGATCCAACATTTCAAACATACAGAAAATTGTATTGGTTCCACACAACTGTAAACTATAGTCGAACTGCGCACTTCTGTAAACCACAGATAAACGCATTGGGTTAGGGAAATGCGTCTTATAAATGATATTAAATAGGCTATCTAATTCTACATTTAATTCAATTCCACGATCAACATTTTATGTACATATTAAATGTACATTTTTAATCAAATGTAAATTTTTAATCAAAAATGTAGTAACGAAAAAAAAACGTTTCTTTGGTACGTTTTACGAAAAAATATCGCGTTCGCGTGAGGCGGTAACCACAGCAACCGTCGCTTGTGCACTTGTCGGCTATCCGTACACCAGCAACTCATCATAGGTAGGGCTATTGTCATTATTTAACGCTTTATTCTAGGCTTTATTCATATCACATGTGTATCACAAAAACTGTAAAACTATTTAAAATGTAAAAAGTAGGCTATTTAAATAAAACCCGAAGAATTAGCCAACCTATTAGCAAAACGTTGACCTATACATCGTAGATTCGTAGTATATAAATATGTATATTTACCATACAAACGTCGCTTGTAACTCCTCTGCACTTGCTGATAAAATCCTCACTGCGATCCATGGACATGACTGTAGTGAATGCGCTTCGGATTTCCAAATCTCGCTCCGAAACACATGCAGCCTTTAAATGTGCGCGCTTCATCCCCATAAACATCATCCACTCTCCTCTTCACCATGACAACCGCAACAATTACCAAAACTACATTTACGACTTCCAGAATTCCAGTCATTGTTAAAACACGTCCGACTCTCGGAGTAATGGTTATCTGTGCAGTATATTATGTACTTGAAATCCGCATTAGGGATTCGGAAACGGTTCACACATAATGCCTTCACCCCAAACGTATCAATTACGCATGCCAATCAAAACCTCTGAAGAATCAGTGGAAGAAGAGAATTGATTTATTTAATAACACCAATTAAAACCCCGCGTTTGGCAAAAACGCGCAACCAGAGCAACCCAAAGGTGAAGAGGTCTCATTAAACTCTTGACACTTAATTGCCGCCATTTCAAGGCGGGTCCTTTTCTTCTTCTGGTATAATTTAGGGCAAATGGTGGAAATATTTCGCCCGAACTGTGGACGGAATACATCACTTGGGGACCAACAAAAAAACACAACAATTTATCATTATGACGAGAAAGGAGCGTTCTAGTTATTTATTTGTTCATTGTTGGTATTTCAAAATTAAACAATAGGTGTTGGCCTTAAGCTATTTCTGTGTTAATGAGCGTTTTCATTTTAATTGTGTCGTTTTAAAATTCTTTATGCACCAGCTGACAGACATGTGCAGTAAAACCTGCACAGTTGCACGCTTTAAGTAAACATTTGTTTGAATGTTCTTACATTATTTTAATGTTTCAAGAACAACAATAATAATAATAATATATTATTATTATAGGCTATTAACATTTTATTAGTCTATCAATATTTATTTATTTAATTTATAGGACTATTAGTCAATACATATAGTTATAGGTAGGCCCTAAATTTATGGGGTCGCTTTTTATTATTTTTAATTAACCCAATTTCAGCAATTGTGCCTAATGGCTGATATCCTAACTAGGCCTACTTATAGATTATAGGCTAACAATTATAGTAATAAAAACACTTAACACAAATGTTTTTTTAAATATTTTTCATATCTGCTGAAACATCTGTTTTTATTTAGTTTTCCATGAGATTTCCATGAGAGTTTTGGGTGCATGACATTATATATAGATATATATAATAAATAAAAACTGAAATAAAAATAAATTAAATCTGAATAGTAGGCCTAATAAAAAAAAGGAAAATGAGAAAACAAATCAAACAAAATTACTAAAAGTAAAAAACAACATATATATATATATATATATATGTATGTATGTATATTGTATGTATGTATATTTGTTTTTTTTGTTGTTTTTTTACAATGTGCCAATGGAAATGTCGGTGCATTCCAATGAGGCCTTCTTTAAAGCTTAAAGCCCGCATGACTTGAGTTAAGGGTGTCGTGATCACTTCAGGACTGCAGCGATCTCTTTCAGGCCAATCAGAAAGTCTTGTAAAAAATGCCCTAATCAGGGAGTGATTGCCTTCTCCACAATCACAGCACAAATGTCCAATCTAACACTGATTACACTTGCTGCCACCCACAGCACACCCAAACACCACGACAATCCCACCGATGCCATCTCTCTCTCTCTCTCTCTCTCTCCCTCTCTCTCTCACACACACACACAAACCATTCCTAGTGTATGCAATTCACGCAATACCTGCTTATGAAGGATCATAGACGTTTTGAGAGTAAGGCAATGCAATATACAGGCTACACATTAGTATGGAGTGAAAATTATTGCTTTGATGATATTAATAATCTTCAGCAGCCTACAGAAAAAGGCTAGCAAGGCTTTTGAGAAGGAGCGCTCGTTGACAAACGGAAAGCAATCGAGCGCAATGGAAAGGCCTCGAGGTCACCATTGAGGTAGCCTACCCGAGGTCAGGACCTCGGTATTTTTCCAATTACAGAAGTTGTAAAATAATTACATATTCTGCTTTGGTGCTGCAAGGATAAAAAGCCAAGATAACAGATCTTCTCATCAGAGATGCCTCAGCAGGGTTGCGTGTTAGCTATATATTGTCTGCGATAATATCGTAATTTTTGTTTTAACGATGTGCGATTTGACATTATTGTCAGTCCTTTGTCTTGTGTTTTGTGTTTTCCTCCCCCACGTGCTTTCTATTACCCAGTTTTCCCTCATGTGCAATTGTTTATTGCTCCCAGGTAGGGATGCACCGAATGTTCGGCAACCGAAATTATTCGGCCGAAAATAGCAAAAAAATCTCTTTAGGTGTTCGGCCGAATAATATGTACCGAACAATGACTAACGCGATCAAATAGAGGCACGCACTAATGCAGCAAACATGTCGGCAGTGTGAAAGTATTTAAAACTATCAGAGAAAAGCCCTATTCGGACGGTAATTGTTTCTCAGGGGGACGTAAGTGATTTTCACCATTTACAGGGGGTAGTTGGTGATTTTAATGCCGTCCAAATCCAGGATGTCGGTGTTTTTCTCACAAAAATCCCCCGCTGAATTACCTACTGTTTTTGGACAAACACCAAGGTCGTGTGGTAATTTAATTGCCGTCCGAATCCACATCTCTGAGTTTACGAGAAGAAATCGATTAAAAATTCAGTGTTTTAAACCTTTTGAGCACTCCCGAACACCGTAAGGTAACGTTGTACTTCGGTGTAATTTGCATAGCCTACATATTTATTTCTGAAATGCTGGAAAGTATTTAAAAGAACAATAATTCATAACTGCTCCACCACAGCGACTGGGAGCAGAAAGAGAAGGAAAGCATGTAAACATTCAAAATGGGTCTTTCCCAGCTAACAATTTTTGGTTCCCAGAACGTTAGTTTTTGGTTCCCAGAATGTTATTTTTTATGCGTTATTATAATGTTCCCCTAACGTTAGTTTTTGGTTCCCAGAACATTATTATAACGTTCCCTTAACCTCTTTACTCCGATATGATCACCCCGCTGTACCTCAGTAATCATCCAGCACACTCGTGACCCAGTATTGTAGCATGGAAATTATCTGTATGGACGCCTGTGTCCTGTGTCTTGTGATTTCCTCCCCCACGTGGTTTCCATGACCCAGTTTTCCCTCATGTGCAATTGTTTATTGCTCCCAGGTGTCTTGTGTATTTAAAGTGTTTCCTGTTCTTAGTTTTTCGTCCGGTATTGAATGTCATCTTTCCCCGCTACGTGTGATTTCCTGGTTCCTCGAATATTATTAAAGGGGTCATATGATGCTATTTTAAAGATCATTATTTTGTGTATTTGGTGTAACAGAATATGTTGACATGCTTTAATGTTCAAAAAACACATTATTTTTAAAATACTGTACATTATTGTAG